CTCTTGAGAACAAATTTTGTTGATTAGTATCTTTTTATGCAATAAAACATATAAAATAGGTTGAAAAAAATAAAAAATATATTTAAGAATCGATTTTCATTCAACTGTACAAATAGAAGCATGGCCATGAATCTTTGTTAGATTTTTGCATTTAGAACGATCCACAGCACCTGGCAAAACATTAATAAATTCCCAGTCTAATCTAAGTTATGTTGTTCAAAAAACCAAAAAATTGTCGCTGAGATGCGCCATATTCGATCTCACTGATGCTAGTTGGTGATACATAAATTTATTGGTATTCATCCACTGATAAATCTTTGCAATATCACTATATTCAAATGATAAAATCTTCATATTAAAATGTGTTCAGAATGCCATGTTATGGGCTCGTTACCTCTTAAAATTAGCATTACCCCATATGAATTATCATTATTTTATCAGTTTGGCAATGACACAAAAAAATTTGTATTATAAAAATTTAGAAATTCCCCAAATAGTCAGCCCATCTGCAATTCCATTTTCAAAGATTTTATTTGAAACACAGCATATGCCACGGTCAAAAATACTATTTCACGTTTTTGAATTCTTTGTATAACAATACTTGCAGATTTCCTGTTTCTATCTGACAGATACAAAAACGTTAACAATAGAGCCACAGTGTCTACTACTTTCCATATTACCCACATGGTAAGCATAGAAAACACTATTAACAATAGGTACGTAAATTGAAAGTGAAAACACTACCTCATCAAATTTTTTTTTCTATAATAGGCCTATAAAATCACTGTTTTACCGTATCAGCAGATAAGATGTTTTTACTTATAATATTTAGCTTCTTTTTCGTAATTAAAGCAATTTTGAACAATGTCTTCTTCAATAATAAAAAATTTCCTATTCAGTACAAGAAATCAAAAAATACTAAAAAATCAGTAAAGCAGATATGCCATAAATAAAGCATGTGTGATACAATTGAAATTTAAAGCTTCAATATTTAGTGAAAACAATATTATATTGTGATGTTTTTATTTCATGCCTTTATTAGACTCAGAACATGTAGCGATAGGTAGTAAATGCTATTCTAATATAATTTTTTTTCCAAAAATGTTCGTTTAACAAATGATAGGAATTTGTAAGTTAACAATTTGGCAAACGAGTTCATCTTCAAAATACCAGGAATTATAATCTAGGGCAGGCGTGTGCAACCTTTATTACTGGAGAGCCAGATACAGGTAACTGGGTGAAGCCGCAGGCCGCACGTTTTTATAACATCTATATATTGCAACAGGATTTTGCTAGCTAGTTTTGCTAATATGACAATTTCACTCAAGTAGGGATTGAAAGTGCTCGTACGAACCAGATTAACTAAACTAAAAACTCATTTCCTGGGCACACCATTCAAATTTGGCACTCATCAACGCGATGCACAATTTTTCCTTATGGGCCACAATTTGCACACCCCTGGTATAGAGAAAACTTGTGAACATCGCACAGGCATTAATTTACCAAATCTATAATTTGTTAAACATTTTTACATTTTCAATCTATACCAGACAAGGCTAATATAGTGAAGCTAATGCTTTTTAAAAATAATTCCTCATCACATAATATTATCCATCATACCCAAACCGAGCTAAATAAAAACAGAGCTTATTTTTCTAAATATAAAACAGTAAACCATTTTCCTTATTATTTCTGCACAGGATTACGGCAGTGTTTGATTAAAAACAAAGACAAAAAACTTGAACTTACTGCAGCATGGAGATGGGACTGCGCCAACTGTTTGTTTTCCGTATGTCGAATAAGTAAGGTTGCAATCTGCAAGTGAGTTCGTATCTTGATCTGAGGTGGTGGGTTAATGTTGAATACTGAGAAAAAAGAAAAATAATATTCAGATGCAAAAAGAGAACTCTTCGATTTTAATTCTCCAAAATGACTAGATTAACTGAAACCTCCATAATTATTCTCTGTTCATTTCTGTCTACAGCAGGGATGGGCAACCTTTAATACAGGAGGGCCAGATATGAATAACTGGGTGAAACCGCGGCCGCACCTTTATTTAACATAGGGTTTCTAGTAGTTGCAGGCACAAAAATTTTAGTTAATGATCTTATGACATGCACTGTTCCCTTTGTACAAGCTAGCTGTTAGGGCATTGTAACGTCATAGGAATAGATAATAATTTGGACTCGGGTAAAGGCTTTGCAACGCAGAGGGATTGGAATGACTCGCACATACCAGATTAAACTAGATTTAAAAACTGGTTTCACAGTCAGCACACCATTAAAAATCGACACTTCTCTGTGGGCTGCACAATTTTTTCTTGTGGGGCCGCACTTTGCACATCCTTGTTCTATTGTACCAAATCGCTACTTTGTACTCAAATTTGTAACATAATTATGATTTATGATGCTACTGTTTTATTATGGTACCAACTATAGATAGGGTTGCCACAAGTAAAATTATATTTGTCACCATCAATGATTTTCCACAACAAGTTCTCATGGTTTGAAACAGCTTTAAACATTTCATTGAAACTCAAAGTCAATTTTGTTTGTATTACAGCGGTAAACATTTGGATTTCAGATTATTCAGATAATATATTTTTTATTATGAAAAACAAACTAAATAATTTTGGTTAGTAAATATATTTCACAATGGAGTAAGTATACCTCAGATGGAAAACTGTCATACATATGTTATTTTTCATTACTAAACGTTTTCGGTATTTACATTCAGGCAATACAAACTAGTAATGTATGTTCATTATCTATTCTGGAACACATTACCAGTATTTGAATCAAGGAGCTTGTTAGATAGTTATTCGTGAAGAATTATATTTGTGAATTTATCTAATTTGGAATCTTGAGTTGAAATATCTAATTTTTATTTGAATAATACATTATTTACATGTTTATTTGACAAAATGAATTTTTACATACCAGTACTTATTTAATAAATTAATGAAAATTTAGCATATTCCATAATTTTGCTGTCAATTTCTTCAAAAGATTACCAATTTCATAGCAAACAAATCGTAACTCCCATAGTATGTGTACCAGGTTAGGGTTAAGCCATAATTTTATTCCAATTTTCCCTATTTTAGTTCTATTACGAGTTCGGGAACTGTCTGTGTTAGCCAAGTGAATATCTCCTGCCCATAGGTTTCAGTCCCTTTACACAACTCGATGTAACTTCCATATTGGTGCACATACTTCTGAAGGACCGACAAATCTCTCAAGTCATCTCTAGCAACGAATATTGTAGAAATATTTTTTTTTCAATTCCAATTTTTTGGGCTGTTTTTCATGCTATCACTCCAAACGTGGCACTGTACGAGCAGCCCCAAATAATGAATGGAGAGAAATGATGTCACTATTTGAGTATATCTACTTAATACTTATTATGATATTTGTCAATAATATATCAAAAAATCATACAAACCTGCCATTAGGCACTGCAGGCACATCCTTATCCTAGGTGGTCTTGCTAATCTATAGTTTTCAGCAATGACAAGTAAACTTTGATATGTTGTTTCATTAAAATTCATATTTTTTGTTTTATAACTTGTACAACCAACAGAATTGTTGGCTGACGGATCGACCTTATTCATCTGTTAGAGTAAAACCATAATAAGTGAATTTTATTTTTGCGATGTTTTCACAAAGACTTCTATAACGAAGAAAGGCATTACAGGGCCGATGTGCCCACATCAAAATTCAATGGGGTAATAAAAAAAAAAAATGCTCACTAGATAAGGAAAGTACAAAAACAAGCAAAAACAGGGCATGCGATCAACACAGACTTCAGGTTGAGAAAAATCTGACTCCGATTCCAGGTTAGAACGAATTTTTCCTCTCCATATCCGAACCCTAATTTTAATAACAAAAACTTTGGTGTATACATTCGTCAACATGTTGTTAAAAACGCCTAAAAACCTAATTGTCTTTGACTTTATATAGAAAATGTTTTCTATTATTACCATTGAATTTCGTCGAACTGGGAAAACATGTTAGACTCAGACTATGTCCTGCTCTGGACAAAGACCCTGTGTCCATGGAGCAACTTCGATATGGAATTTTCCTCAATAATAAAACGAATGACAAGTAATATTTGGTCCTCAGTAAATCTCACAAAAACAACTTTTCTCGGACTTATAAATTTGAAAATCAAACCAATAGAACCTGTATACAGCTCTTACTACGACACTTGGGACACTACCAATAGTGTTTCTAGTTTTAGTTAAAAGCATGCAACATACTCATGCTTTACTCATACTAGCAGGAAAAAGTAACCAAGCAACAATAACAAGCCAATTTCTGCCGTAGTTCGAAATATGCATCATTGCACCAAACTATAACTATCTGGGTTGTACCTCAAGTACTTCTAGCTGGCGTAGCATAACAATTTTTGCATATGTCAATCCTAACCCCCACCTGACTGCATCATCCAAAAATTACTTCACTACGACGTGACAGTTATGTAATAAGGTCCTTCAAACTATTCAAACTGACATCCAAGGCGCGCAGATGATCACCCGAAATCGAGCAATCTATTTCTCGCAGCAACGGTCCCGATATGGGAGAGATCGGTGCTGTTAGTTATTTTTTTATTGTCGACGCCGCTGCCATTTCGGGCCATCTTAGGTATACTTTGGCAAGCTCTATATCTATGACGTGATTGTGACTTCGTAGTGATGTAATTTTTGGATGACGTAGACAGGTGGGGGTTAGGATTGATATGTGCAAAAATCGTTATGCTACACCCACTACTGCACTAGAAGTATTTGAGGTACGAAACTACACAACACCCAACGATGATAAAATACACCTTTGACAGAGGCATTAGATTTCAGAAAAATTCTCGGTTTTACGTTTTACATAATATAATAGAGAAGGTGAATTATTTATATATCTTTATTACAGTATTAATATAGTACTAAATAAAGTCTTCCTGGCCTCTCCCTTATCAAGGCTGACGTCACTGCAGATTGTCTGATAAAACTGGATGCAAATGATCTAAAATATTTGGTATAAAAAGACATACAGATATCCAAAATCAAATAAATCATTATTTTGAATGCACTCAAAAAATTTTCTACCAACAAAGAATTCCGAATACATTCAAATTTCAGAATTTGAACATGAGACATTCATAAAGCCTAAACGTAATATTGTGTAAAAATTGAAATGAACATTGTTTCGTACAATTTTCTACAGTTCTAAATACAGAAATATCAAACAGTTGAGCCAAGTCTATTGTACTGATTATACTGTTATATGACATGGAGATTCCTATGTGAAAAGCACATGACTGTCAGACTGTGTGAATTGATATGAAAAGGCTTCACATTAAGTAATTTCAGAATTTCACAACATACAACCTGACTTCTTTTACTATAACTGCTGCACTAGGGCAAAATCTGTTTGTGATCACAATAAAATCGGAGGAATTGCATAAAATATATTGAGAATAATACTGTAATAGTTTGGTCTGGAATTCATTTTATTTCTGGTGGGAGAACAATTAAAATATAGAAAAGGGTGGCAACTAAAAACCTCCAGCCTGCTTAACATAAAGATAACATAAGAATGATCTGATCAGCGACGTTTCTGAATTTGAATAAAGTTCAAAGAAAAGTTATATTACCGGTACATAGGTTCGACAAAATTATTATTTTCAAGTTTCTATAACTCCATTTGCGACGCAATCTAAACTTAACGCCTACAGTCAGACAGTGACGAATTTCGAAATCAAGATCTAAATTTGGTGCTGATCTGAGATGACCCAACCTGAAAAATCGTTTATGACGACACACCTGAACAGATTTTCAGTTATAGACTTCATTTGAGTATGTAATTCCGAAAAAACGAAGTATATTTTGGCCAAAAGTGACAAAATAGGGATCAAAAAGCCGCCTAAATTCGCCGCGAACTTGATCGGATCAAAACCCCTTTTTTTCGCAGTGTGTCAGTGCCCTCTTGTGACTGGGTCATAAATTTAGTATCGTATCGAAAAGACAGGAGAGTGGATGTTGTTTGGCTCTAAATTTGTAGACATGACATAAATTATGAGAATATTCCGAAATTATTTATTATAGAATTCAATTGTTCGTGTTCAGAATAAATTGCAAGAATTGGGTAGTATTTAACCCAAATCATCCACAAGAGGGCAATAAAATACCAAAACTTCATTATTTCTTCGAAAGCGATTGTTTCGGTGTTGAAGTTACAACTTATGCGGCTCTCTCGCATTCGTTCGCGAGGACATTCGTATTTGTGGGTTTTGTCTATTTGATAAATGCTCGTTCTGATTGGTTTGCTATCGCTGGCTGTTTTTAACACAATTTTTGAATGCTTGGGTTTGCTCTGCATGTCCTATGGCTTCTTCCACCATCAAGTCCATGCATCCTAAATCAAATAACAACTAATCCAACCGTTCGCCATATGGTTAAGTTGAAACATTCAACAGTACAAATTTTAAAACAGTGACATATCCGTTCTTGACCATGAGATTGAAAGCTCTGATGAGCTTCTTGTGTCACTCTTAAACAAAGTTATATTAAAGTTGAGATTTATGTTTGTGTGTATACTGTGGTTTCGAAAAACTGTGTATACAGTTTAAATAACTATTATAATATGTACTAGCTGATACACATAGCTATACAGTATTTTATATTCATCTCATTTTCTGCAATTGCGAAAATCAATTGTGACCAAATTTTACCTACCGTTAAAAATGTATGTTTAGGCAATTTTTACTTTCAGTATGGACATTTCAAATGACCCAGTTCTATTCTTATTCGATCGCATAGTTCCAGTACCAAAATTCGGTAGCTTCATTTCCAAACAAATAGTAAAATGCATGATAAAGCCAGGGAGGGAAGCGTTAGTGATGTATCATTTCTAAAGTTAATTGCGAGCCGACACAAGTTAGAGCTAATGTGTCACAAGTATAAATCGCTCAACATTAGCTCAGCTTAAGATTTTCAATTACGGTAGATTGAACAAACAAGGCAGTTCTAATTCCTAACGCAGTTGTAGTTTCCACAAACACAGTCCTAAGTTGTATGCCAGGGGTCATTTTGATCTGGTATCAAATTGGGTATTCACGATTGAATATGAACTGCTCGAAATCTTAAAACATTCTCTCATTGCGCACTTGACAAACATTTTTAAATTTGAAAACTTCTGACATCTTTTTGACACTCTGACCACAGCTTGAACCTAAATCTTCAAGCATATCAGCTAATCTTGTACAATTTTCTGTAATAGTAAGAGTCCAATCCCTGTACCACATTTCAATAATTTCACAATGCCAGAATCTCCAAAAAAAAATTTGTGTTAACTACAGAAAATGTTTAAAACTCAAATGCTCATTTTGGAGATAGATATTTGTAAAATAAACACATAATACTGAATACTAAAATACACAAAATAAATTTTTAAAATATAGAGATAAATTTCAGTCTAGGATATTTCAAAAAAATATATATACTAAATACAGTTAAATAAAATGAAGGATTGCAAATATTATATATCACGTCAAAATATATTATGCAGTCAATAAGTGAATAAATCAAGATTTGCCTTACAAATTTAAATCAAATGAAGAAAATTGAAAGAGCTTTTTCGCAAGAAATAAATATCTTTTTGAAGCCAAAACCTTACAGAGTTATTGTTTTATTAAGCGCATCACAATTATTTGACAAAGGCTCTTTTTAACAGCAATTGCAGATAAAGCTTACACCATTTTTCCTATCTCAATATAGGATGAAGTTCAGTTTGAAAAAGTAACTTGATTCATTGGTCACACAGATTTTGATATACATTGAAAAGCTGCAACAGACAATTTAAATGTTTCTCTGAGTGGTTGCAAAGCAAAAACATTTTACAAATTATTTCTTAACATTTTAGTATTCCAAAGTAAATTTTGCAAAATTTCATGAGTTATCCTTTTGCTCTTTCATTGAAAAAAAACAGGAGATATGACAATATCGACCTGGAGCAATTTTAATTTGGGACAATAACAACAATGTCTGGCAAGATTAAAATTTATTTTGGCTTGAATTAAAATTTTGGGTATACAGTAAACACAATTTTTTGTTTGCATATAGATAGTTATTTTAACATTCTAATCATACACGCTTTATTAGGATATAAGCATGTATCAATCTAGCATAAGTTTATTTTAGTACAGTTAAATGGTGTTTGATAAAGTGAGATGCAATATTTATGATAAATTTACTCAGTTATCTTCTTGAAAGCTTCTTTTTATCGATACATGAGGATATTGTTGGTCCAATGAGTGGACGACTTCTTTGGAGAATGCAAAACAAAAAGAAACATCCAGAAAACTAAAATTCTTGCTTGATTCAAGGAGATTGATAATAGAAGGTACAGTAACCAATCTTGTTCCAAGAATGTCCAATTTCCTGTGAAAATGAGATATTTATCAGAAGTCATCTGAATAAGGTTAGGTGGGACATCTCATTCAATATAAGCTTGATGTTTTAACCAATGGTCACGAATTATTAACAACTGCCGTATATTCTCGCATATAATCCGAGTTTAGAACTCAAAAGTTGCCTAACTAAGGGGTGGGGCCAATATGCACATACCTCTGATCGCACTAAAAATTCGGCTTATACATTTATAACTCAAAAAAAACTTGAACCATGCTAAGTACTCGCAATAAGAGCGTACAATTTGTAGGGTCGGCTTATATGCAAATTTTTATAAATTCACCATTTTAGGGGAGGGGGGGAGGTCTTATATGCATGGGTGTCTTACTGACATGACAGTGATAACATGAGCCTATTACCAAACTAAATCCTTTCAAGACTTGCATCATGGGAAATTCAAATTGAATGATTCGAAAAAAATGTTATATTCAACCAATACCAACTATCAGCAAATGTTGATTCACAATATCTAATCTTTAATTGACTTGTGTAACACAAAATTAATTCCTTTAATACATAATTAATTTATTGAACAACTTACATTTAAAATATAAACTTAGAAATGAGTATAACTTACTCTAGCTTGGGGCAGTTCTTGCTCAGGGCATTGATTTCAGCATCTGATATAGTTCTGTTGGCAGTCACATATAACTTGGTTAAATGAGGACAATTCGACGCCAATATCTGGAAACAACCTGAACTGCTCTGCAATCCTCCACACCTTTGAACAAAGCAATTAAAAGTTAGAAGCCATTGTTGAGAAGGCCAGTGATGAGTGTTAATCGAAACTTCAGTGATTAGAGGATAAACTAAATATTGCAACATAGCATAGCATGGCCAAAAGAGCCTACACACCAATATCACACTATTTCACTAGCCAGAAATCAGTAATCAGTACAAATCTGCAATAGCTTGTGTGCAAAGGGTAAATAATAATTGAATAGATGAAAATAAATTTGGGTTAATGGAGACAATACTGAAATCTGACATAGTTTAATTCAGATTCACCATAAGCTATCAAGTTCATATGAACATAAAAATAAAATATAGTTTCGGAACAGGAATGAATCAAATATGCTATCATAACATAGGTATCATTCTACTGAATGTATGGGTAAAATGAAAATCGACTTGTACAATAACTGTTTTGGGCTTTTTAAATTGGTCTTCAAAATATAGTGATTTGTGCGGCTATTCCTTCTAGACTTGTTTGTCTTATATTCCAAATGAAAATGATTTTTCAGGATAATAAACTATTCAGTTTTATTTTGGAAACTATAAAAAATGTATAAGCAGCATATTATCAGATATAATCATTTGTATTATTCAATTTTTCAGATGTCACTTAAGTTTATGAATTATTATCATTGAATAAAACATTGATGGGCAAAACTTAAACAAAATTCATATAATGTCCATACTCGATGGTATTAAAATAAATCTTTTCCTACTAGAATGTCATATCATGAATCAATAGTGATGTAATAATAATCACTACATATCTAAAATGACTCAATTTAATACATGTTACCATCATTTCTCGTATATTAAAACAATACAGTAGGCTTTTTTAATTACTCATCACTGCGTGATCAACGTCTGATACCACGCAATGATGATTAGTGTTGTAATTCATCAATTGATGACCTATCTCCACCATATTGAAATTGAATACCAAAATTTGAATGCTCAAATTCATTTAAATAATAAGCAATCAATATTATTACATTTGAGAAATTTAATTAGAAACGAAATTCTACCCATTTCAAGTGCTTTTAGGAGTTGAAATAATCAAAATTTTGCATGTAAAACACACAATTTTAGCAGTGCAAATAAAATATTAGACAAATTTGATTTATGCTGGGATGTATTAGAAATTCTAATCGATGGGCATTCTGAAATCCATCTTGCGATTTAAAATCATAATGAACGTATTTTGTAGTAATCGATTTGGATATAAAATTCAAGGCTAAAATTGATTTACAAGAATGCCAGAAATTTGAATTACCATATAACTTCATCAGTAGAGGCTTATCGACTCACATTTTTAGTCAATTTATTAAACCAGAAGAGTATTTATTCAATCAAGTTAGAAAAAAATAATGCTTCTCGCTTTTTATTTTGAGCAAAAACAGACATTCAAAAAAGAAAATTTTGGTATTGATTGTTTTAAACCTCTATTAGTAAGTGGGATTGGGGAGAAATTAAAAAAAAAAAAAGATAGTAGGCTATATTCATAACTGAGACTTTCTTAATAGCAGAATCCCCAAAAAAATTTAAAATGTGTTCTCACACTATCATCCCAAAGGCTCTGTATAATCATATAAACCAATTATATTTGCTTAACCAATTTATCACACTCTGGGTTAAATTAAAACTTCCTCTTACCATCCCAAATCAAGTTCTTCAATAAAATTGCATGAAGTCGTTAATGAGTTAATTCCATGGCTTGTCAAACTTTTTGCTCTCCAGCAATCTAAACTTCTTATTTTAGGACAATGTTGAGACAATTCAACAAGAACCCTGCAACGATCAAAATAATGTTGAATAATTGTATAAAAGAAAATTTCCAATTTCTGTGGCAATCTTTCTGATTGTAAATTTGATACGAGTGTGCTTGAACCTCGAAGCTTGGATTGATTCTTATGTATAACCCCTAAATTTATATGCAGCGATTGAAACATCGATGATTGCTTTCTTTCAAATGATTAAACTATTGTCAGTTTATTTTCCTTGTTGAGAAGAGCTAACATGATATAAAAATTCTTACACTTTTAAAAAGTTGACACTTATAACTCGAAATAGCATTATAAAAAAATTTGCTAGTTGTCTATGATGAAAATACCATAATCTCTTTCCACGAAATATCAAGTATATTTATGAGCTTTCATTAGATCATAGTCTACCTTCTTCAGATAAAACAAGATATGGCTTAATTATAGAGCGAATAATAATTATTCGCTGTATCTATCTTAGACTATGATCCAACGAAAGCTCATAAATATACTTGATATTTCGTGGAAAGAGATCATGTTATTTTTATTTATCTTCATAATACTATCTCAGTCACGCATCCTTGTGGCAACAGCCACATACGGATCCGGAATAGAAACAAGGAGAAAGGACCTGCAGTTCAATACACAATACCCTAGTACACCCCATATTGGTGTCTATGATGAGTCATGATTGCGTACCTATCAAAATCAAGAATGCAAATACAGCTTCCAAGATTTATGCTTTGTAAGTTTGGATTAGAATGAAGAATGCATAGAATTCCAGCATCATCTATCTGGAAAGATAAAAATTTATTATAAATAAAAAAAAAAAGAGTTATATAAAAAACACTGTTTCCCTGGCCCATGTTAATAGTTCTGAACAGAGTTAGGTTGTCAATATTTGTGTTTTTCTAGTGGCTAGACATGTTTGTAATAAAACAGCAACAAATAACTACTTCAGATCGAACCATATTACAACAAGAAATCTAGTTCCTGCGCACAAAGCAAGATATGCAATGCTGCACCGGAAAATAAAATGATCCAACATTAAATGATTTAGCATCTTAAAAAAGCGTTATTACAGAAGGGTTTAATAGAATACCTAAAAGCATTTCCCTAAATATTTTAAATTTTTTATTTTTTCACATTTTTGATACAAAAGCTTACCTTTGTTCGATAAAAATTAACATATTCAAGTTTCGTTAAATTGTGTAAAATCCTCAGTCCTTCAGATGTGGGTGCGTCACATGACCAGATATTAAGATGTTGTAAGTTTGGACAATAATGTGAAATTTTGCTCAGAACTTCATCAGAAACGATCGGACATGATGCAAGTGACAAATGAGTGAGAACATGAGATCCACAATTCGCGACAAAATTTACTAGAGATCCGCTTGAAACAATTCCACCACCACCACACCATGTTAAATTCACTGACTGAAAATAAATGTGTATACTATGAGAGCTTCCTTTCAAAATAAAATCCAAAATTATAGTCAAGTTGAAACATTTTAAAATGACATTACTTGGCTTTAGCCAGTTTAGCAAATCAAATTACTTGAGTCCCAAATTGTATAATGACTTCGGTGGTTAATATAATATGAAATCCAAAAATTTTAAAAAATTTGGTGGCAAATATAATTTGAATTCTAAAAATTTGAAAGATTAGGATGGGATTCAACCACATTTTTCATCACCGTGATCAGCTATTCTACAAATACTATACACAAATTTATATTTCTAAACATCAACACATAACACCTTACCTGCACTTGAGGAGTAGGTGGCGATTTATTGTCTTCCCACGTCACATCATATAACTTCGGATTACAATGTGTAACCAAGCATTCTAACGCATCATCGTTAATGAGGTGCCAACAACTTCTAAGGTCGATATTGTTAAACCATGAGGGATCATAGCTAAGTTCATGAAACAGCTTGCACACACGAGCACAGCGGCATAAATCCATAAGAGGTAAAAATGAGAATATATAACATAAAAGTTCCGGTGGAAGATTGTCAAAATATCCATTATTGTGTTCAACTTTTGATTCAGAAACGGTGTCATTTTTCGATTTGTTTCGAGATATGTCCTTCATTTTATTCGAATAAGATTTGACAGTCTCGTCATCAACTATCTTCAATTCTTCAAATAGTTTCACTGGAGGATCGACTGAGGTTGAAGGGTAGTATGTCAAAGTACCTAAATAAAATCACACAAGTTATTATCTTACATTACGAAAGACAGGTGTATCGGTAATATCGGCCATTTTGTCAATACCTGTAATTGTATCGTTATCGACTGAAAAATAAACCAATATTTCCAACATATCCAGCTCGTTGATCTAATTTAGAATGTTCTGAAGTATAAGTAGGTATACAAAATCGGCAACTGAAATTATTTTTTTCATAGAGAAATTATATATACATATACTTTACGATTTATAGTAGCTAGCCCATTATGAGTTATCTAATCAGGCACCACGATTCCTAGCAACAGTGCACAATCAAATATCTGCTATAATTTGCTTAATAATAGAGGTGATGATCCCCATCTTTGAAAATATTATCTCCTCAAATATTAGTGGTTTCTTGAGTAAAGGCCTTGAGTGAGGGCATGTGCTGTTGTATAAAAAACAGCCTTTTGTACACATTTTTACTATTACAACAACAATGCACCAACCTGTAAGTTCAACTGCATCAAGTTCAGTATAATATTGTAGGTGAGTGCTACAAAATTCAAGTCGAATGATCCTAGTTAGATGTTTCATTTCATTTAGAATAGGAGCAAACATTCGAGCTTCATTTGGAGATGAAGGAAGATTTTGTTCAGGAGAACTACATTCCCATAATATCTATGAGAAAAACATTTTCAAGATTGCATTCTTATGCTGAGGAATAAATTATTGCTACCCGCCCTACTTTAACACAACTTCATTAACAACGCACATCCCTTCTATTGCAAAATTGATCAGAACGTTTCACTTTATATTTGGATGCCCAGGGGCAAAATCATGATGACTGTATACCAGTTGACGGTCAGCAAACTGCAAACAAATTTTTTATGGTTGTCACATGACCTCACTTTTGTTGCATGAAAACAAAAATTGCTCACTGCCCTAGACAAATGTTTTTGAAAAAATTTTCACACAATTCACAAAAACATAAGCACCTCCCAATGTGAGCATCCTGTTGCAAATGGAACCGGTACTGGCATTGGCCTTTCTTCATTTTGAGAGAGTCTGTAAAAGAAACAATTTATCACAGATTCAATTTAAAACACAATTGTGAAAAATATATTATGGTACCGTATATTATATTTCTGTAATGTTATAGCATATTAAATCATATCTTCAATACTTTTAAGTTGGGTTCATCAATTAATTATGAATTATTGATTTGAATTCTATCTCACAAAAAACAAGCTCAGTTAAACCTGTAATATAAAATTATAAAACATCATGATAATAGAGAGAATGCTATATTTCAATATCAGTGAAAACCAACATAAAAAATAAAAGCAAAAGAATGACATTTACTTACCCAATATTATGTACTGGGAATGATTGTCTTAATGCAAGTATCCTGACCACGGCTCCAGGGTTGTAGGTTTCAAAAATGGCAATTGACCATGGATAGACAGATTGATCAAATACTAAATCAATGTAATCTTCGCTGTAGAAGTTTTTTTCCCTGTACAAGAATAACAATAATTATAGAACGCCTAGCTTTACTGCAACAATTTTTTCAAACTAATCACACAACGGGAACTTATTCGTCATGTTCCAACTTTCAGCAGAGGAGAGCAAGATTTCTGTATATAGTCATATTATTGAGCAGTTTTATCCTCTTTTCTTTCCCCATGAATAAATATGGTAATACGAAATTCCGTTAACATTTTTATTTCGGTAAATAATTTGTAAAGTGATATCAAACCTGGGATGTCCAGATGCTTTAGATGCCTCATTTTTATCTTTCCACCATGGGCCATAAGTTCGGAACACTGCAGCTTGAGTGAAATCTCCGTACGATGGAAATATTCTTGGTTCTCCGGCAATATTTGCAACCGAATATGACACACTTCTGGGATTTTCTCCCCCATACTGTGAACTAAAGTCGATTACACCAGAGGCATATTGCTTGATAAATTTTGGTTGATTGCTTTTCATTCTTGCGCTTTTGAAATGTTGTCTACAATCCGACATCTATAAAAGCATTCTTTAGCAGCGTCACTTCTTTAACAATTTATCTATTTACCCTAACAGCTAACAATATTAATCATCTAAATATCAGTAATTCAAAAAATATTTAGCTGGCCCTCCACAAAAAGAGGACTTCCAGACAGCTTCAGCCACGAATTGCCTTAGGCTATAGCAGTAGATCTATAACAATATACCGCAGTAGTGATCGGGAAATCCTGAAATATAGGTACCGGTTCTTCAATACACTACTGCACTAACAGACTAGAGTATAAAATACAGCTATAACTAAAGAAGACAGATACCGGTACCGGTATCGCCGAGGCTTTACCTGATAATCCAACCATTATCTATTTTTCACACATCTAACGAATTTGCTTTCTCCTGCAGGTGGAATCCTGTTCTCGTATGATTTGTACTCAAGGACGCTTGACACTTTGCAACCTTTGTTTACGTTTTGTCAGCTGACTGTAAAATTCAACACGCTCGGGTGCGCTGGCATGAAAACATCAACGTCATCTGCGTCGTCATACAATTTGCCGAAGGAGGGTCAAACCGTAGTAGTATATATTTACGGTCAAACGTTTCGAATTTTGATATCTAATATATTGGAAGACCACGTACCCGCAGTACTAAAAGTTCAAAATGCATAATTATGTATCAATGCTTTACGAGTGGCGTTGAATGAAAATAGATAGACCATGGTATTCTCTGTGAAGAGAAGATACTAATGCCAGAGCTACCGTTAGAGGGATCGTTTATTACAAGATTTTCAGGATAGGAGTCTCATATTTATCCTATAAGACGGATCATGACGTCTACGCCTAAGTACCGCGGCCTCTTGCCCGGGTTACCAGTCCATTCCGAGTTTTGGATGAGATAACTGGTAATTCGTTTCATATGGATGGAATGAAGCCGTCATCACCAGTAGTTGCATGAACCCTACAACGACGAAGACATGCTGTTGCATATAATCATTCCCCACGGGATTCAAACCTGTGAATCCACGCAGGGTAATCAGCGACGCGATGGCAAGCGTATTCCTAATGCGCAACACACTGGTTTCAAACTTTCATGATCGGGTTCCCTTCAAAATACCCCAACACTTGTGACCCCTGAGCTTCTATAAAATTATTCAGTTTTGCATGTAACGTGTTTCCATCATCTATTTAATGTTCCACGTTTTATAATAAAAAAGCCAACAAACGCAAGCAGATATAATAATTGCATCATAGTCAAAGACAAGAGAGCTATGCTCAAATATATGGACACGTAGCGCCACCCAATGGCAATAATTTTGATGACGTCATAGCGAAAAAAAAAGTAATAGCCTTCTGGAGAAAAATTTTATCTTCAACCACTGAAAATTTCAAAGCAATTGGTCCAGTATTCGAAGAGAAAAGCGACTTTTTAAAAACGTGTCAAAGAACAAGAACAACAACAAGGATAACAAGAACAAGAACAACAACAACATAATATTGAAACGATCGTTATGTCCACTACGTGTCCAAAAAGAAGTAAACAAATCGTAGTCAATCTACTCATCAATAACTGTAGGCAAATTAATGTAGGCATGGAGACTAATACCTCATGAAGGTCTTTGCTCGTATGGCCCACAGGGAAGTCGAGGTCTTGGAGGATAAACCAGAAATTGAATGTAATTCAATGAGCTTCAATTTTACAATGCCGCAAGTCATGGGCTTCCGTGCTTCAATGACTCAAAATGATAGAATTACAAATGATTCTAAAAGTAATTCAGAATTTGAACAATTTAAAATTCCGGATTTTATCGTATGACTTTAATTGCTCGAAATGTTAATTTTTCCTTTTGACGCAGCGGCGCCGTGTCAACATCGACCAAAAGGGTCTCGTCCTGCGTTTACAGCTTTCCCAAATTCGTAACACTTCTGAGGTTGTTATATTTAATATGGGTAGCAGTTTTGAAAGACTCACTGGTTTCGCCCAAATTTTCTCTTCGAATACTGGACCAATTGCTTTGAAATTTTCAGTGGTTAAAGATTAATTTCTTCGCTAGAAGGCTATTACTTTTATTTATTTCAAAATTTTGCGTGAATTCTATGAAATTTGATATTTCGTCTAAAATTTTGCTGTATTATTTTTTATCCATGGGAACACGGATTTTAGTCAGTGTCATGACTGGCTGTACGTTTTGATTCTGCAAAATTCTTGCTACTGGAAATTCAGAACTTTTTTTTGAGGGTACCGGTAGCGTCAAAGGTACCAGTAAAGACTGATTCGCTCTGGTCTAACGTGTCCATATATTTGTGCGTAGCTCTCTTGTTATTCGCAAACGAACATTTATCTATTAAAAATAGATATGTGATTGAGTATATCTCTTTAAAACAGAAAAATATCATATACGCCTATATTGGGTATTCGATGCATCCATCAAATATATTTTTCACTACCAATCTTATTCATTCTCTAGTTATTTAAATAAAAGTTTATCCTAAAAAATATTCGAAACTTACATTCCTGTCTACAGCTAATATATTAGTGGTGAAATAGCCTTTTTAATCGGGACATAGCCGACATATACCTCTGTGAAGCTAGCAGCAAATCACGAAATTGTGACTGACAGAATCGCAGAAAATACCCACGCGTAAAATTAAATGTTCCCAATGATTTTTAAAAGAAAGTGTATATTTTGATTAGTTTTACAATAGCAAATAAAGCAAAACAATCATTAACTACACTACTCGTATTGTTAATATATAGTAAACAAGCTAAAACGACTATTACAGTGCATAAATTTTTTTATACTATTTTGAGAGTTGTTTAAAAATGACTGAATTTTCGTCGTTTAAGACGGTCGTTTCATGAAAACCTCCAATAAAGGCAGCATTGCAACACCATTGGTAAAAAGTAGAAACCTCAAAGATTCGATTTCATTATGTCAGAACAGTCTCAGCATGTTTTGACTTGGCCATATATAATACTAAACATAGCGTATAATTTTCAATTTTATGCACAATGTATATACAACAAATTTAAAACTGATTTTGTATTTCAACTAAATTTACTGGATAGTTCATTAAAGAAGATATTTTTCTCTTTGTCACACAACAATAATGCACTTCATTAAACTTAGAATAAGTTGGAGAAAGTCTGAAATACCAAAAAAAAATTTACGCCCTCATGTGGATTCTTTAGCAAATTTCACAAAATTATCGTTTTTGAAAGAGCGATTTCTCAAAAACCGCCAATAAAGGCAGCACTACGACACATTCGGAGAAAAAACGGTACCTTATAAATTTGATTTCATTATGTCAAAACAGTAGCAGCACGTTTTGAATTGGCCAAATATAATACCAAACATAGCGTGTATTCAAAATTTTATAAACAATGCAGACGTAACATATTTAAAAATGGTTTGGTTTTTCAACAAAATTTACTAGATAATTTATCAAACATCTTTTTCTCCTAGACATACATATATACTGTAGGTCCATTAAACCTGGAATGAGTTGCGGAAAGTATGATATAACAAAAAATCATTTTACGCATTCTTGTTGATTATTTTCAAATTTTCAAAAAATTATGTTTTTGAAATAGCGATTTCTCAAAAACCGCCAATAAAGGCAGCACTACGACACATTCGGAGAAAAGCAGATACCCTATAGATTCGATATTAATATGTCTGAACAGTAGCAGCACGTTTTAACTTGGCCATATATGAAACCAAACATAGCATATAATTTTCAATTTAACTAACTATGTAGATGTAACATATTTAAAAACGATTTGGTATTTCAACTAAATTTACTGTATAACTCATCAAATACTTTTATCTCTTGGTCATACATTAAAACTGTACGTTCATTAAACTTGGAATAAGTGGCAAATCCTAAAATAACAAAAAAATGATTTTACGCCCTCTTGTGGAGTTTTTTCGGAATTTAAAAAAAAATCGTTTTTGAAGGGCGATTTCTCAAAAACCGCCAATAAAGGCAGCACTACGACACATTCGGAGAAAAGCAGATACCTTATAGATTTGATTTCATTATGTCAGAACAGTAGCAGCACGTTTTGACTTGGCCATATATAATACTAAACATAGCGTATAATTTTCAATTTTATTCACAATGTTTATACAACAAATTTAAAACTGATTTTGTATTTCAACTTAATTTACTGGATAGTTCATCAAAGAAGATATTTTTCTCTTTGTCACACAACAATAATGCACTTCATTAAACTTAGAATAAGTTGAGGAAAGTCTAAAATACCAAAAAAAAATTTACGCCCTCATGTGGATTCTTTAACAAATTTCACAAAATTATCGTTTTTGAAAGAGCGATTTCTCAAAAACCGCCAATAAAGGCAGCACTACGACACATTCGGAGAAAAGCAGATACCCTATAGATTCGATTTTAATATGTCAGAATAGTAGCAGCACGTTTTAACATGGCCATATATGATACCAAACATAGCATATAATTCTCAATTTTATTAACTATGTAGATGTAACATATTTAAAAACGGTTTGGTATTTCAACTAAATTTACTGGATAATTCATCGAATACTTTTCTCTCTTGGTCATACATGAAAACTGTACGTCCATTAAACTTGGAATAAGTGGCAAATCTTGAAATAACAAAAAAATGGTTTTACGCCCTCTTGTGGATTTTTTTGGAATTTTAAAAAAATATCGTTTTTGAAAGGGCGATTTCTCAAAAACCGCCAATAAAGGCCGCGCTACGACACATTCGGAGAAAAGCAGATACCTTATAGATTTGATTTCATTATGTCAGAACAGTAGCAGCACGTTTTGACTTGGCCCTATATAATACCAAACATAGCGTGTATTCAAAATGTTATAAACAATGCAGACGTAACATATTTAAAAACCGTTTGTTATTTCAACTAAATTTACTAGATAATTTATCAAACATCTTTTTCTTATGGACATACATTTTACTGTACGTCCATTAAACTTGGAATGAGTTGCGGAAAGTATGAAATAAAAAAAAATCCTTTTACGCCCTCTTGTTTATTATTTTCAAATTTTTAAAAAATTATCGTTTTTGAAATAGCGATTTCTCAAAAACCGCCAATAAAGGCAGCACTACGACACATTCGGAGAAAAGCAGATACCTTATAGATTTGATTTCATTATGTCAGAACAGTAGCAGCACGTTTTGACTCGGCCATATATAATGCCAAACATAGTGTATAATTTTCAATTTTATAAACAATGTAGATGTAACAAATTTAAAAAGGGTTTGTATTTCAACTAAATTTGCTGGATTATTATCAAATATATTTTTATCCTTGTCGCACGTCAATATGTCTATTAAACTTAGAATAGGTTTCAGAAAGTATAAAATAATAAAAAACATTTTACCTACCCTCGTGAATTTGTTTTAAAATTTCGAAAATTATCGTTTATGGAGTGGCGATTTCTCGAAAACCACCAATAAAGGCAACATCAAGACACATTCGGAAAAAAGCACATACCTTATAGATTCGATTTTATTATTTCAGAACAGTAGCAGCACGTTTTGACTTGGTCCTATATAACTCCAAACATAGCTTATATTCTTCAATTTTATAAACAACGTAAAAGTAACAATTTGAAAGGGTTTGAGTTTCAACCAAATTTGCTGGATAATTAATTAAATATCTTTTTTTTCTTTGTCGCACAATATTACTGTACGTCTAAACTTGGAATGGGTGTCGGAAAGAATAAAATACCAAAACTCATTTAAGCCCTCTGGTGGAATTTGTTTACTTTTAAAAAATTTTAATCGTGTTTGAAATAGCGATTTCTCGAAAACCGCCAATAAAGGCAAAGAGTTCGGTATTTCAAATGAATTCACCTATTCCATTATCTTACTTTTTCAAACACCGATACTGTGTGTTAATTATACTTAGAATAAGTTGTAAATTGTATAAAACAATAAAAAATGTCTTACGCATTATACTTTTATTTATTTCCCAAACATACGCTTTTAGAGTGACGATTTCTTGAAAACCGCCAATAAAGGCAGCATTATGACACTTTGGCATCGGATAATCGAAGATACATTAAAGATTCGATTCCACTAAACCAGAACGGTAGCAGCACGATTTGATTTGGTCATATATAACATCAAACATAGAGTATATTCTTCTATTTTGGAATAATGCTAACGTTAAAAATTCATAAAGCTGTCGTATTTTGAACGAATTTTCTGAATACTTGTTCAAATATAATTTTTTCTCAGTCACACATCAATACTGGACAAGGCGAAAAATATATTTGATCAATTATCCAGCAAATTAAGTTGAAATACAAACTTTTTAATAAATTCGTTACGTCCATTTTGATGCAAAATTTTAAAAACACGCTATGTTTGGTAATATATATGACCAAGTCAAAACGTGCTGTTACTGTTCTTGTATAGTAAAGTCGAATATGTAAGTTATATGATTTTCTCCATATGTGTCGTGGTTCTGCCTTCATTGGCAGTTTTCGAGAAATCGCCACTCCAAAAACGATAATTTCCAAAATTTTGAAAATAATCCACAAGACGGGTAAAAAGATATTTCGATATTTTATACTTTCCGCAACTTATTTCAACTTTAATGAACGTACAGTATTGATGTGTTAGCAAGACAAAGGAAGTTTGATAAATTATCTAGTAAATTTAGTTTAAATATAAAACTTTTTTTAAATATGTTATGTCTGCATTGTTTTTTGAAATTTTGAATACACGCTATGTTTGGTATTAAATATGGTCGAATCAAAACGAGCTGCTACTGTTCTGGTTTAGTCAAATCGAATCTTCAATGTATCTGCTGTTCTCCTAAAGTGTCGAAATGCTTCTTTTATTGGCGGTTTTCAAGAAATCGTCACTCCAAAAACGGCATGTTTGGGAATTAAAATAATATTATAAAGGGCGTAAGACATTTTTTTATTGTTTTATACAATTTGCAACTTATTCCAAGTTTGTGTGTGTTTGAAAAAGTAATAAAACGGAATATTACGTTATTAGGTGAATTTAATCGCCACTTCAAAAACGATAATTTTCGAAATTTTGAAACATGTTCACGAGGGTGCGAAAAATGTTTCTTTTAATTTTATACTTTCTGAAATTTATTCTAAGTTTAATATACGTACAGTATTGATGTGTAACAAAGATAAAAATATATTTGATCAATTATCCAGTCACTTTAGCTGAAATACAATTTCATTTTAAATTTGTTTCGTCGGTATTGTTCATAAAATTGAGAATACACGCTATGTTTGGCATTATATATGGCCAAGTCATACATGCTGCTTCTGTTTGGTATAGTGAAATCGAATCTATATGGTATCTTATTTCCTCCGAATGTGTCGCAGTGCTGCCTTTATTGGCAGTTTTCGAGAAATAGCCATTTTGTAAACGATAATTGGTTGAAATTTTGGGAAGAATCCACTAGAGGTCGTAAATGTTTTTTTGTTGTTTTATACTTCTCGCAACGTATTCCAAGTCTAACCGACGTACAGTATTAATGTGTGACAAAGAGAAAAAGATATTTGATAAATTATGTAGCAAATTTTGTTGAAATACAAACCCTTTAAAATTTGTTTCGCCCACATTGTTTATAGAATTTAGAATACGCGCTATGTTTAGTATTAATTATGGCCAAATCAAAACGTGCTGCTACTGTTCTGGTTTGGTGAAATCGAATCTATAATGTAGCTGCTATTCTCCGAAAGTGTCGTATTGCTGCCTTTATTGGCAGTTTTCGAGAAATCGTCTCTCCAAAAACGGCATGTTTGGGAAATTGAAAAAATTATATATAGGTTGTAAGACATTTTTCATTGTTTTATACAATTTGCAACTTATTCCAAGTTTAATTAACACACAGTATCGGTGTTTGAAAAAGTAAGAAAACGGAATATTACGATATTAGGTGAGTTTATTTGAAATACCGAACTTTTTTAAAATATGTGAATATTTGAAATCTACGCTATTCAAATAATTGAGATATACGATATGTTTGGTATTATAAATGGCCAAGTCAAAACGTGCTGCTACTGTTATACTATAGTGAAGTCGAATCTAAAAGGTATTTGCTTTTTTCCAAATGTGTCGTAGTGCTGCCTTTATTGGCAGTTTTCCAGAAATCGCCCTTTTAAAAACGATTATTTTTCGAAATTCAGAAAAGAACCCACTATAGAAAGCGTGAAATATTTTAATTTTTATATTTTAAACTTTCTCAATTAATTCTTAGTTTAATAGACGTACAGTATTTATTTGCGACGAAGAGAAAAATATATTTGATCAATTATCCAGCAGCTTTAGTTGAAATACAAATCCATCTTAAATTTGTTACGTCGACATTGTTTCTAAAACTGAGAATACACGCTATTTTGGTATTATATATGGCCAAGTCAAAACGTGCTGCTACTGTTCTGACATATTGAAAACGAATCTATAAGGTATCTGCTTCTCTCCAAATGTGTCGTAGTGCTGCCTTTATTGGTGGTTTTCGAGAAATCGCCCTTTCAAAAACGATAATTTTTCGAAATTCCGAAAAGGATCCACAAGAAGGCGTCAAATCATTTTTTGGCATTTTAGGATTTGCACACTAATTCCAAGTTTAATGAACGTACAGTTTTGTTGCATAGCCAAGAGAGGAAAGTATTTGATGAATTTTCCAGTAAATTTAGTTGAAATACCAAACCGTCTTTAAATATGTCACATCTACATAGTTAATAAAATTGAAAATATACGCTATGTTCGGAATTATATATGACCAAGTCAAAACGTGCTGCTACTGTTCTGACATAATGAAATCTAATCTATAAGGTATTTGCTTTTCTCCGAATGTGTCGTAGTGCTGCCTTTATTGGCGGTTTTTGAGAAATCGCCCTTTTAAAAACGTTATTTTTTTAAAACTTCGAAAAAAATCCACAAGAGGGCGTCAAATCATTTTTTGTTATTTTAAGATTTGCCACTTATTCCAAGTTAAATGAACGTACAGTTTTGATGTATGACCAAGAGGGAAAAGTGTTTGATGAATTATCCAGTAAATTTAGTTGAAATACCAAACCGTTTTTAAATATGTTACATTTACATAGTTGATAAAATTGAAAATTATACGCAATGTTTGGTATTATATATGGTCAAGTCAAAACGAGCTGCTACTGTTGTGACATAATAAAATTGAATCTATAAGGTATATGTTTTATCCGAATGTGTCGTAGTGCTGCCTTTATTGGCGGTTTTTGCGAAATCGCCCTTTTAAAAACGATAATTTTTGGAAATTTTGGAAATAGTCCACTAGAGCAGTGTTTTTCAACCTTTTTCGAGCCACGGCACCCTTTTTCGATTTAGAAAATCCCGCGGCACACCAACATCTGAAAATGTGGCAAAAAGACCTAATATTCACAATATGCTATATTGTTCATATGAGTTTTTTTAAACATTGAAGAAAGATGTTGAATTGGACATTTCCAATATTAAACAAATAAAAAAAACAAGGACAAAAAGTATTTCACAATCGTTCATATTTATTATTCTCACTCAGTGTGAAACCTGGGGCTGTTTGAATGAAGACAGAGCAGATATCCTGGCAGGAATCGATGAAAGGCACACACGAAGCTCTTCATCAACAGCCCTAAGTCTTTCTCTGTTTTTAGTTTTTATAGCAGTCAGGCTTGAAAAGCTCACCTCACACAGATATGTTGTGGAAAATGGGAGCAATGTCAAAATAGCTTTGTGGGCCAGCATGGGGAACTCCTTGGCAGCTGCCAACCAGAAACTGTCCAAAGGTAGATCACCAAAGCTTAGCTTGAGACAACGATCTTGTTTCAGTTCAGTTAGTTCCTCCTGCTCCTGCAAAGTCATGTCCATTCCAAAAGCTGATGCTGAGCTGAATGGATCCCTAACCCAGTCAAGGTACTCTGTGGTGACTAAAGAGAAATAAAATGATATCTTCTGCTCAAGAATTTTCAAATGTTTAACTATTACCTCACACAGTGCAGCAGTATTAACACCTTGACATTTATTGGTGAGTGGGAACATTTCAAGATTGCCATTTCCAACATGTTGCTGCCAGAGTTGCACCTTGGAACGGAATCTTATATATTTTATCTGCGCTTGTAAGTAGGTTTTCATTTTGGCCTTGCATTCGTGTGTTCAGTTCATTCAGATAATAAAAAATATCTGCCAGGTATGCCAGTCTTGCACAACACTCTTCACTTGCAAGCAGCTTCGTGTACTCGGACCCCTCGTTCGTCAGAAACCCTTTAAGTTCCTCTCGCAGCTCATACACACGGGCCAGCACCTTGCCGCGCGTCAACCATCGGACCTCCGTATGAAACAGCAAGGCTTTATGCTCCGCTCCCATTTCTTCACACAAAGCCGCAAATATGTGAGTTTTCAGAGGTCGTGACTTTACAAAGTTTACCATACGCACAACATCATCCATCACAGGAACGAGGTCTGCCGGTAAAGTCTTGCCTACGAGGGCTTCGCGGTTTAAAAAACAGTGAGTTATGATCACATCTGGGTTTTTCTCCTTCACTCTGCTTACAAAGCCTTTGGTGCGCCCAACCATGGCTGCAGCTCCATCAGTGCAGACACTCGTGCAGTTTTCCCACGTAAGTCTTCCTTTTTCTAGATATTCTGATGCAACGCGAAAAATTTCCCCCCGTTGTTTTTTCTGGCAAAGCCTTGCAAAATAGAAAGTTTTCTCTGATTGTGTCTCCATCCACAAACCTCACATTAGCCAAGAGTTGAGCATGCCCACTAATATCAGTAGACTCATCAAGTTGCAAAGCAAATTTATTACCGATACGGATCTTGTCCAAAACAACACTTTCTATGTCTGCAGACATCTCATTGATGCGTCTGGAAATTGTGTTATCTGAAAGAGGGACTATTTCTTTGGCCGCTTCGGGCCCGAGCATTTCAGTTACAATGACTTTGCAGGCGGGAAGTATTAATTGCTCTGCCACAGTGTGGGACTTTTTTGATTAGCCACAAGTTCAGCTACGTGATAGCTAGCTTTAAGGGCTTTCGCGTTCACCTTTGCGGTTTTTCTCATGAAAGTGGCCTGTTTCTTTGTCTGATCACGCAGGCGAACAAAATAATCCACATTTTTATTTTGAAGTAAAGGGTGTTTAGTTTCAAGATGTCGTTTGAGCTTGCTTGGAACCATAGCACCGTTGGAGAGCGTTTCACCACATACCAAGCACAATGGAGTCGGTGCCGTTGCATCTTCGGTACAAGTAAATCCAAATGAAAGATAGTTTTCGTTGTATTGCCTTGTCTTTGCTTTCTTTTCACCTCCACTCATACTAGGGCCCGGATTTTGTCCAGGGTCCAGTACAATGTCCGCATTTTTTCTTTTCAAAAATTTCTCCATCACAAATGCAAAGCGCAGCCAGGAAGAGCGGGAATGACCTTGAGTCTGAGTCGGTCGAATGCGGGCTCGTATCACGTGACATCTGTATGACGTCACAATTACCTGCCGCTGCATCCATGCTTACAAATCGCCACCGGTTGCTGCCACCTTTTGATATGGAACAGTACTACATGATTATTCTACCGGGCACAACACCTCATATACACACAAATTGGAGAATTTCCCACGGCACCCCTGACAACATTCTACGGCACACCGGTGTGCCGCGGCACCCCGGTTGAAAAACACTGCACTAGAGGGCCTAAAATGTTTTTTCAGTATTTTAGACTTTCCGAATTATTTCTTAGTTTAATAGACGTACAGTATTAATTTGTGACAAAAAAATATATATTTTATCAATTATTCAGCAAATTTAGTTGAAATGCAAACTCTTTTGTAATTTGTTAAGTCCATGTTGATGTAAAATTTTATAAACACGCTATTTTTGTTATTATATATGGCCGAGTCAAAACGTGCTGCTAACGTTCTGGCATAGTGAGGTCGAATATATAATGTATCTGCTTCTATCCTATTGTGTCATGATGCTGCCTTTATTGCCGGTTTCAGAGAAATCGCCACTCCAAAAACAATAATTTTCGAAATTTTAAAATATGTTCACGAGTGTGCAAAAAATGTTTTTTATAATTTTATACTTTCTGAAACTTATTCTAAGTTTAATATACGTACAGTATTGATGTGTAACAAAAATAAAAATATATTTGATCAATTATCCAGTCACTTTAGCTGAAATACAAATCCATTTTAAATTTGTTACGTCGGTATTGTTTATAAAATTGAGAATACACGCTATGTTTGGTATTATATATGGCCAAGTCAAACATGCTGCTACTGTTTTGGTATAGGGAAATCGAATTTATAAGGTATCTTATTTTCTCCTAATGTTTCGCAGTGCTGCCTTTATTGGCAGTTTTTGAGAAATAGCCATTTTGTAAACGTTAATTGGTGGAAATTTTGGAAAGAATCCACTAAAGGTCGTAAATATTTTTTTTGTTGTTTTATACTTCTCGTAACGTATTCCAAGTCTAACCGACGTACAGTATTAATGTGTTACAGAGAGAAAATTATATTTGATCAATTATGTTGCAAATTTTGTTGAAATACAAACCCTTTCAAAATTTGTTTAGCCCACATTGTTTATAGAATTCAGAATACACGCTATGTTTAGTATTAAGTATGGCCAAATCAAAACGTGCTGCTACTGTTCTGGTTTGGTGAAATCGAATCTTTAACGTATCTGCTATTCTCCAAAAGTGTCGTATTGCTGACTTTATTGGCCATTTTCCGAGAAATCGTCACTCCAAAAACGGCATGTTTGGGAAATTGGAAAAATTATATATAGGTTGTAAGACATTTTTCATTGTTTTATACAATTTGCATCTTATTCCAAGTTTAATTAACACACAGTATCGGTGTTTGAAAAAGTAAGAAAACGGAATATTACGATATTAAGTGAGTTTATTTGAAATACCAAACCTTTTTAAAATATGTGAACATCTACGCTATTCAAATTATTGAGATATACGCTATGTTTGGTATTATAAATGGCCAAGTCAAAACGTGCTGCTACTGTTATGGTATAGTGAAGTCGAATCTAAAAGGTATTTGCTTTTTTCCGAATGTGTCGTAGTGCTGCCTTTATTGGCGGTTTTCGAGAAATCGTCCTTTCAAAAACGATTATTTTTCGGAATTCAGAAAAGAACCCATTATAGAAAGCGTATATTTTTTTTTTATTTCGTATTTTAAACTTTCCCAATTAATTCTTAGTTTAATAAACGTACAGTATTCATTTGTGACAAAGAGAAAAATATATTTGATCAATTTTCCAGCAGCTTCAGTTGAAATATAAATCCATCTTAAATTTGTTACGTCGACATTGTTTATAAAACTGAGAATACACGCTATTTTGGTATTATATATAGCCAAGTCAAAACATGCTGCCACTGTTTTGTTATAGTGAAATCAAATCTATAGGGTATCTACGTTTCTCCGAATGTGTCGTAGTGCTGCCTTCATTGGCGGTTTTCGAGAAATCGCCCTTCCAAAAACGATAATTTTTCGAAATTTTGAAAAGAATCCACGAGAGGGCGTAAAATGTTTTTTTGGTATTTTATACTTTTCTTCTGCAACTCATTCTAAGTTTAATAGACGTACAGTATTAATGTGTGACAAAGAGAAAAATATATATTTTATCAATTGTTCAGCAAATTTAGTTGACATACAATTTCTTTTTAAATTTGTTTCGTCCACATTGTTCATAAAATTGAAGAGTATACGCTATGATTGGTATTATATATGGCAAAGTCAAAACGTGATGCTACTGTTCTGACATAATAAAATTAAATCTATAAGGTATGTGCTTTTCTCTGAATGTGTTGTGATGCTGCCTTTATTGGCGGTTTTTGAGAAATCACCAATCCAAAAACGATAATTTTCGAAATTCTCAAACTAATTCAAGCGGGTGCGAGAAATTTTTTTTATTATTACTTTATACTTTCTGAAACTTATTCTAACTTTAATAGACGTACAGTATTGATGTGCGACAAAGAGAAAAAGATATTTGATCAATTATCCTGCAACTTTAGTGGAAATACAAACCCTTTTTTAATATGTTACGTACCGTTGTTTTAAAAATCGAGGAATATACGCTATGTTTGGTATTATATATAGCCAAGTCAAAACGTGCTGCTACTGTTCTGGCATATTAAAATCGAATCTATAAGGTATGTGCTTTTATCCGAATATGTCGTAGTGCTGCCTTTATTGGCGGTTTTCGAGAAATCGCCATTTTAAAAACGATAATTTTTTGTAATCCAGGACAGAATCCACTAGGAGTCGCAAATGTTTTTTTGCTGTTTTATACTTCCCGCAACGTATTCCAAGTTTAAAAGATGTACAGTATTAATGTGTGACAAAGAGAAAATTATATTTGATCCATTGTCTAGCAATTTTAGTTGAAATACAAAATCAATTTTAAATTTGTTACGTCCATGCCGTTATTAAAATTTAGATTACACGATATGTTTGGTAATATATATGGTCAAGCCAAAACGTGCTGCTACTGTTCTGTTATAAAAATATCGAATTTATAGGGTATCTGTTTTTCTCCAAATGTGTCGTGGTGCTGCCTTTATTGGCGGTTTTCGAGGAATCGAGGTTCGGAAAAGGATAATTTTCCGAAACTTTGTATTTGCGGAATGCCTGGAAATTCATTTTTCGCTTAGTTGGTCTTTTTTTAAACACTATTTTCTTATTAAATTTAATGTATTATTTTAGTTTAAAGATTTTTCATCTATTTTCGTGCCAATATTATATTTTGATCAGCATTTTCAATTTCCATATTTACCTATAAGTGAAGACTATATGCGCGTGGAACCTATATTCAATGTGTAAAAATATTCTGGCTGAAAGTGCTGCTAGCTTCACAGTGGTCCGACATATCCATTTTAGTTGGGACATTCCAGAGTTGGCTTTGTGGTCGGACTATTGCCTTCTTAAAATCCCGGCAGAGTTAGCGTTTGTCTTTCTTGCCTATCACCAGTGGCACTCAGGGAGTTCACGCGAATCCATCCCTGGAATGTCGTGGTCGCGCACCGCAGTTGAAGATCAGCGGTATGTTGAGCGTTTTTTGTTATGTATTAGATTTATTTAAAGCGTGTCATGTTTAATGCATCTTACGTAGTGAGATACATACAATTTCTAAAAATTTGGGCTGCCGCCAAATTCGTACAAAAATAAATGCTGAAATCGAACGGCAGAGGAGGATGTAATAAAATCGGAATCGTGGATGAGGATCCACATTTTCAGTTTTCAATATTAGAGTAAATATATATTAAATTAATTAGCAATTTTGATGACGCCATCGCACACAGAACACGAATCACATAAAGGCCACTTCTAGCGAAAAATACGATCTTCAACCACTGATAATTTCAAAGCAATCGGTTTAGTAGTTATTATTGAGAAAATCGATGTTTTCATAACGGTAATAAGAAAAATATTATCAACAAGAATAACAACAACAACCTAATAACAAAACGATCCATATGTACGTTTCGTGTCCAATAATTCGAATTGAAAACTTCAAAATCAGCATAACAGCTTCATCGGGATCCCATAGTATGGTAATTTTTTATCGCAATTTGTGATTGATTTTTATATAAAATAAATCTAATTTTACCATGACAAAAAAAGTGGGACACGATACCATCAAGAAACGGTTGAATATACTTAACCTGCTAATTAAATTATATCTATGGTTGCGGTGGTGAGAGAACAATGTGTATAACCAGCCCAAGGAATGGCGTTCATAGACGCTCTACGTGAGAATTAACCAGATTAATCCACAATTTTTTAACTCGAGTCCAGATTGTTTATAGGTTCTCGTCACGCGCGGGACACATGCCGAATACCCTAGCAATCACGAAAATAAAAACTACTCATTTTTTCGTGTTAATAAATACAAATACATTGATAATACAAAATATTTTATTTCTGAAATTCCACAAAAATCACTTTTCATCATGTGCTATCCACACTCGTCTAAGATATAATAGAGCTCCGGCAATCAACACAATCAATAAGATAAGAATTAATCCGCCGAATATACAGATTAAAAGAAGTTCTGTAAAAAAAAGAAAAAATTTATCAATATAAATACTAGAATTTTACACTGCAATTTGAAAATTTAGACAAACTATTTTATACGAAACAGATTAACTTGAATTTCAAAAATTCATTTAGTTCAGTTATTAATTTACTGTACACTACTGACTATACGGGGAAAAAAGTAGGAGCTTACTGGGATGAATTTCGTCTTCTTCTCGGGAACTATTGATTTTGTTCTTCGTGTTTATTGGCTTCACATTTGCGTCTGTGTAATTTGTGGATTCGACTAAAGGAATAACTGTTGGTTTCATCAAATATATCGTAGTAGTAAATTCTTCGCCGTTGAATTTGAGAAAATATTTGTTTGTGGAATCAGCAGAGGAATTAGGCTTTATAACATCGTTCAACGTTCTCTTTTTTCGTGACGTACATTTCTGTTGATGAATATATCACAGTTAGAAAAGTCTACATTGCGAAGACATTATTAAAATTAGTTAAGGATTGTTGTTTTTGCGCATGGCTTTTACGAATAGAGCTTCAGACATTTACCCACTGATAGAAGAGGAGCTAGTAAGGTTCCAGAATTGTCTTCGCTTCAGCTTCGATATTTCCTACCCAATTTCAAAGGAGTTTAAACGGGTGATATACGATGCCATAATGACTCGACTCGCTAACCTCGTGGGTCGATGGGCCCGGCAGTACCCTATTTCTATTTTTATCTTGTACTTTCAACTTTCTCAAAATGATAAGAGAGTTACCAAAAAAAAACGTCATGTACTAATTGTTCATTGTTAATCTTGCTGGGAGGATTGGAATCGGACTTTCCGGTAGTGGTCGCCACCAGAGTTTTTCTGGTCTAAAACAAACATGATTATTGTATACAAGGCTTTACCGGTTGGCAGTTATTGGAGGATCCTTTTATGCATAAATCCATAAAACATCTTATTGTTGCGTTAGTACTTTCAGATGATACAATTTTATTTAAGTTAACTTTCAAAGATGATTCCAATGATGTACCACTGGAATAGATTTCTGTTTTTCCAAAAGCTGAACACCTGGAAATCAACAAAAATAAGATAGCCTACATTTTAAGTGTCTAATTTTGTCTATTAGAAATAAAATAAAAAGTCCAGATCCACTATTCAGACGCTTTAGAATGTTTAGAAAATGCTTCGTCCTGGGATGGTACAACTGTAGGAAGGAAGACGGGAGTAACTTCATGATGTGGCGGATACATGATACTAACTGTATATACTTAGCAGCTATTTTTAGGCATTGGTAAGTGTAAGTCGTAAAACATAGTTGAGTACTTGTGAGTTAAGTACGGCATTATAATTACAGTTTTGTAAATGCAATTTCTTAGATATTTTATATTTCATACCCATCTTTTACGATCTGATGCTCAACTTCCGCGTCTTTTATTAAACATTGTTTTATCACTGATACAACTTCAACGTTGTCATCGTTTTCTGGTTGAAGAAAACCGGGATCTTGGATTTTAATCTGAAAAAATCAATATGGTTATATCAACTTTGAATTACACTCCAAGTTGACAACTAACAGCTTAGGTATTCTACAATGTGCTGGGTGGTGTATGAAGCCTATTGTAAGCGCTGACAACACATATATTGGCATTCTTTGTTAACTAACATTGTATTTTCTGGCAACAGCGGCAGGATTAAGTGTTATGTATGATTTAACATTTGTCGATATCCAAAATTTGTACTTTCACGGTATGTCGTTAGCAATATACTAGGAAGGGCATCGCTATAGAAGGCATTCGAACATGGAATTTCTGATATGCGCTGCCATTGCAATTTTAAATTCCCAACCATAAGGTCAGCGTTGATAATTGATATTAACTGAGATAACGCTTTCCGTATTCCTTCTTGAGGTTGAGGAACAAGTATTTCACCCGTTTTCACACAACCCCTTCCCTGCAGCCATATTCAATTAATATATTCTTGTTTGCATGGTTTATATAGTAATTTGTGGTGGTAATTTACGCTCATATATTTGCATAAAAAGCCACAAACGTGTAAAAAATATTATGCGGTTATAATTAACTGATTTTTGCACGCGATAACGGTAATCAAGAAATAGAAATGGAACTCATTGGCTATGTTCCAACTACTCGTCATTGTAAATATTGATATGGTTATTTCAACCCTGAGGCGGATCAAATTATAATGACACTCATACACTGGTATTATAAATATAGGGGATCGTAGCTGCAAATCGTTTCAACTTATGAAATCGAATTTCAGTGTAATAAATCAATCTATATTTATAGCTTCACTTCTATAAATTCGACTTCTAAACAATCGACTTGAAGTATTCTGTAGTTTAAGCTATGGAGAACAATTTACTGCTGGATTGGGTTTGGACGGGACATCCTCCCAGCTATAGAAAGTTTAAAATAATACAATTCTTCACGTCGAAATCACTATAAAAGCAAATTTTCATCTAGATATAATCCCTAGCATAACGTTACTTTTATTTTAGTACAATATATATAAGAATTACTATTATATTATATAGACTATATAACTTATGGGTATTCAAACATAACATTTATTTGTGTATCATGTCTCAAAATGCCTCTAATTTTTTGACAGCATTAGTATTGATAGAAAAAAGTTGATCCTTCACCTTTATAAATACTGGATCAGAATTAGGCGTCGTCGGTAACTTATCGTACTTCTCATCAAATGTATCCGACTTGAAAACTCCTATTTCACCTCTGACCTTCTTAATCTTGATCACGTGAGAGGAAATAACGCTGAAAACATTTTAGTTTCACGTTAGCAGTTATCAGTCACTAAAATTTTTAAATGTTTAAAATATAGGACAAAACCGTATTATAAGGATTACTTTTCGCACTTTGACAAAAACTCGCCAGGGTTAGTCTTCTTCAAAATGAACAATAACAGGTTTCATACTTTTGATTTCAAAATAATATATACCTCCATTTTGTAAAACCTCTTAATTTTAAACCTGCCCACTTTGTAATTTGCGGACGTTGACAATTTGTAGAAAAGAGCTGTTTTGTTCACAATGTCGTGATTTGAGTCGGTTCGTCGCGACAGAATTTGCGACTAAGCTACTATTATTTATACAAATTATTGTCATAATTGCAGTTAAATAGTTCCTGTATCGCGATAATACAAATAAAATAGTCCATTTCTACTTTTTTCATTTAAAAAATTATTTCGTGTTATTACTCTTGGGCTTTTCTCTAAAATATTGAAAAAAATGAAAATTTCGATTTTGATTATCATATTATTTGAAAAGGCTATAAATCTATAATTTACCTGTCCTTCGGTTTTGCTGTCACCAACATTTCCGAACGATAAAGACAATGAAAATTTAAAAGAACAAAGTCTCTCGCAATTGGACCGGAGCCTCCGTCATATATTAATTTATTAGTAAACTTATAATGAGTTATTTTTCCAGTTGAGTTCACAGTTTCCTAAAAAAGAAGCGAATATCACCGTCTAAATATATACAGTATATGAAATTTTATTAAGCATGAAAACATTAGAGCAGAACTACACTACTTCTTGATCAAAATTGATTCTTAGAACCCAGAAATTTGTGGATAAAAAGTGAACAAGGCTCAAAATTACCCAAACGCTTCAATTCGACAAATCGAACAAAATTTGTTACCATTTCATACACTTGGTGAGATGATGAGATTCGATTATGGGCTACATCGTACTGAACAACTCACCTGCGTTATTTTTCCGTTCCCGTTCTGAGCGGTGTTTGAATACCAATAATTTGTCAGATGGATCGTTAGATATTTTTGTAATTAACTATTGAGTCAGTTCTACATTCGTGCATATAAATCAGATTCGGAGTACATTGTCTACATTTTTATGTAAGCAAATTTATGAACAATTGCAAACTGCATTGTTGTTCTAAAATCTAAATCATCGTTGATATACAATCTCGGCGGGTCTCAACTTTCGTTAAAAAAGATTAAGTCACAACGTCAGAGGTAATTTATAACAATGAATTTACCCATAAAACCGAGCGTAAGAGGACAAAAACAAATTTGATTAATTGAGATCGGCCTTTGTCACGGCGTTTGTAATTGTTTTATAGCTCATACGTCACTATATACGACCAATTGATTTGAATAAGGTTAAAGGTGACGTTTAATTATCATCTGTCATTTTGGCATTTTTTTCGTCAGTCAGACTTTCCTTCTGGTACAATTTGAATACACATAATTTAACGAATCATTAGGATTGGTCTATTTAATTAAAGGATTGAAATTGCCGGCGTTCATATCGACTATGTCACAATTTAATTGTCTTTATACATGTTTGATGTTTGCTACACTTATTTCCGAAAAATATGAATAAGTTTTCACAAATTTGCAATATATATATATCGAAATTTTGTTTCGTGATATTTCGAGTACCTGATAATTTTTTTTCACCAAGCGTTAACGGCGCCATAATATTTATTTCAGCTGATCCACACAAAACCGGTATTACAAGGATCAATAGAGTTGACATGGATTAATATCACGTTTATGAAAATAGCAAAATACCACATCTTGTGGAGTAGACAATATAACATGCGGTAAGGCGATATAGCTTAGTGGAATACAATTAAATTCATTAGTTTCTATTAAGAACCTACTTATATAAATTGTCTTTCTTAGCGCAGAGCATTAATTAATGGAACGGATCCTACTAGTTTAACGAGAATGAAGAAACACTATTATATATACGTGCGTAAACAATTGTTTTCAAGTCTGCCCTATTTCTCATAATACAATCCGACCGAAATCTTTTCGTTTACTGAATTTATTTGATATCAATCTCAGTCATTGCCTAGGTTTTGATTACACACTAGGGGGCAACATCAGGGGTAACTGATTATGGAGGTACTCATGGACCCACACAGAAATTCGTGACGCGACGCCCATACGCCTTATTAGAGCTATTTTCGTAAAAAGAAAAAATTGGTATAAGATTCCTGATTTAGCCTACACCCAATGACTGATTCCATTATAATTGTTCGCATATTTGCCAAACTGTATAAACCAAGTGGAACTTGTTACAAACGAATAACAGTGGCTAAGAGTTTTAAATTTGAAAATGCTCTGAACTGGAGTTAACAAACATTACAAACATAATAATTTCAAGTCATCATTTTCGTAAAATTAATTTATATGGTATAATCGTACATATATTCAAAAAAATAAATTGGCATTCGGAATTGCAATTTTGGTCGGCTCTGTTTCAACCCACTCGTAATTAAATTTTGAGAAGCGAGAAATTGTTTGTGTATGCTTGTAGATACTTCTATAAACATAGCCTACTTGTTTATAACACGCCTATAGATACAAATATCGGATGAAGTAATTATATAAGGCAAAACGAGTATAAATTTCTTGCAATTGGCGATGTCAAGTAGCCTACATGTATCGGAACTGCTGCAAAATAAGATTGCTAGTCCATTCTGGCGAAAGTATTTAAGTCATAACGTGAACCTAGAATTATGGTATTGCTGACTCGAAAATATTTTTATATTTTCACTGAGATAGATATATTTTGACAACTTTGCTCGAGAAAGTGAGCTATTTCATGGGTTATGGCAATGAGGAGTTTGATTTTGTTAAAACCTGCTTAAAATCTTAAGAACTGCTTTCTGGAATGCTTGTTCAAATATTCTAGTTCAAATTTGAATTTAGGATATACTTTACCGTGACTGAAATCTTGTTGCCACACTTAGAAAAATCCTTTGAAATCCGGACTGATAATTTCCCGTTCACATAATCCGCACAGCATGTTCGATCTCCCAAACAAAGTCGATTGACAGAACTAATCCTATCAGAATGTCGAAGTATATAATCATTTGATATAGCTACTTCCATCTCTTGAACTCCACACGTTACGTTCACATCAGAGCCAAAAACTAAAAAAGAGGATTATTTGTTCGTCGATGAAGATAGGTAAAATATATATCGTCACGCTAATAACCGAATTGCGTAAGTCATTTTTAGCAGTTTTGAGAAACACGTAAAAAACTTCCTAATAATATTGTTATGCCATTGAGAGTCAATAATTTATCATGGTTCAATTTTTTGATCGTAGCCGGATTTAAGTTAATTTGTATGACGCAGTTAAGTGACGTCATAATGGCGCACTGTGACTCACGCAGAAATGTGTCTATGACTTGGGGACATACGCAATTTTGCAACTATACTATATGCACCAGTCCTGAAAACTGAATATTCCAAAAACGAATGTAATTCTTAGTATCTACAATGTCTAATCCCCAAAATAGCGAATCAGTTTCAATTACATTATTTTTATGTTTAAAAATATATATTTCATCAATATAACACGTTCTGCACACCCACCGAAATAAGACTAAGATTGAATATAAAGAATAAAATAGCAATGCACCCAATATAAAAGCCAACCAATGTGAATTGGACACGGACAGTGAAAATCACAAGTGCACGTTTTCCTATACTGTAGTATAAATTCAAATTAATACGCGCTAAGCTAGAATCTGAGAAGCAAAAACTCGAAAATCCTTAGCCGAGGTTATTTTGCCTTAGTGACGTCACAATAGTCCTGCGGTACCAATGATAATTCATTATGACGAAACAATTGCACAAATGTGCATGTCATACTAAATCTCCATTTTTATGGGTTTCGGAATTCTTAAAATAAAATCTGAGTTAACAGACAGGTGCGCAGCATTACATAAATACCTATTTTATAAAAAACTCAAAATCGCCAAAAATGACTTACGCAATTCGGTTATTAGCGTGACGATATGTGATAAATGGCTTCAATCTCTTGTAGTTTCATTAAATCATTTGCCAGTTTATATTATGTTGAAAGCGAACAGCATATAAAAACTAGATCAAAGGCCTTTAGATAATTGAAGATGCAATAACACGAGTTTTGGAATTATTCGAGATCGTGGCGCTGCCACAACATCCTAATCATAAGTAACCTATTCCGGGATGCTTAATACAGTAGCCTATCTGTGTTGGGAGGTTTTATCAATGTGATATGGATGTTTCAAAAGTTTGGACTAAATTTTAACTCACTTCCGTAGCCACTGACTAGAAAGGCTAATCTAGAACAAACCTAATATTTGATAAAATTGATACCACGATTTTGGTAAAATATTCTCAGGAAACTAGTTGTCTATTGTCTATTCTATTGCATGTGGGCACAGCAAAAACAAATTAGTCCAGTGACATGGTAATGAAAGAAGATACACTTCAAGATTATTGACGTACGGTAACACAATCACGCGAAGGAAATTCGATCCTATTGTATGCAACAACATTGGTCGAATTTCACCTTGTGACCCGTCTAATCCCTCTTTTGACTTCATCCTCTCACGCAGTTTTTCAAAAAACGAAACTATCGCTTTTTACAAAAATAATATATTAGTAAACCTACCGGGATATGGAAATCCATTCTTCACGTTTCCAATTTCATCGACAGCTTCAGTGAATGCAAGAATGCTTTGTATAAATACAAATATTCCCACCCAAACTGCTGTAGCTGTGTTCATTCTGCCTTCCTAACCTTCTGTCCAACTGCATACGGACTAAGGCTATAGCAAACGCCCTCGGACTACTGTTCACCTGACCACTAACATAGCTATATAAAACTGTAATGAAATTAATGGCAAATAATAATTTCACCGGTACAGCTCAGCGGTGTTTGCCCGGAGGGTTAAAACGAATTATTCGTTTAAGTATTTAAGATATGTTATACGTGGCCGTTGTAAGTTTTATGAAATAGAAAGTTAAATGCTTACGCCACACTTGATGAGTTATGGAAAGATTTCAGAATGAAAGGTGTGGAAATGTAAATGTCTTCTAAACTGGCAATTACGTCGTGTGCTATTAACAAACAACAAAAAATCAAGCTGCATCACAGGCCACAAAACGATGGTTTGTGCGAGAGCATTGTGCTGGTAGTTGGATGGAGAAATTCAAACCGGTTTAAAGCACAAAGTGTTTCAAATATCTCTTTTCGACTTTTCATGATTTTACATTGTAGCCTATGTGAATTATAGTCAGTGGTGGGATTCAAAATTTCAAGGACAACTTTTGTATCGAACCCGCTATCAACATGTTCCCTCATTTCAGAAAATGTGAGTATATATGTCACTACGTAAGCTACATAAACAAGACGTCTTCTACAATCTACATAAATCTTATACATAACTTTCGAAACGCAAAATATAATCATCGCTGATCATCACGACCTTCCATAAACTGATTCGCGCGAGTCTGCTGACATCTCCACCGAATACAGTCAATGTGTCAAAAACCCGCAATATCGTTCCTTGTAAATTAGAAACCTATTACTTATATATATATATATATACATATGAGCGTATTCAGCCTTCCTTTTTCATTTCATGTTACTGGCATTTGTTGAAGTATGTTATGAATAAAAACAACGTTTTAGAATTTTAATTCCACGTCAAACAATTTGGAACGAATATTTAAGCAAAGGCCGACATTATCCCTCTACAGAAATTTAAGCTGCCTTGCATTATACGAGTAGCCTACTCCGGGCAGGACTATTCGAAAACAATGTAATATGCGGAGGCACTTTCTAATTTGGTTTATGCACAAATTTTACGTTCACTGATGATACCAATTTATTTAAATTGAGATACAGTATGATAAAGAATTAGATTAAGAGCGTATATATATATATCATAAATATTAAGCCTAATTATATACAGACATGACGAGTCTGATCGATAGCACCATTAAAACCGTTCAGTTGGGTTTGCTTGGACATTAAGTTAGCTTGTCCCCTGTGTAGTCATATATATATGGTAGTGTTTAGCTCGTGTGAATTGTATGTTTCAATCCATCGCTAATACTTCACCTTTTCTCACGAGTAGGGTACATTGCGCCGTATTAAGCATACGCTCATTATAATTCCCAAATTACATAATCCGGTATTCGATACTGAAGTCGCATCACGTAGCACACGTCTCGGTTCTTGTTGATAATTAGACCCCGCAAAAAAGATAATACGCTTCGATTATAATTAGGATGGCAAAAAACTCACGACAGATATTTTGGGGAAAGTAGCATGTTCCATAATGTAAGCTTTAACGAAGTGATTGTTTATCGTTATTTCAGGATCTACGATATCTTTCGAGACCAGATCTCTGATTTTGCAATTTAGTCATATTCAAATCTGTCACGACAGCTCTCCGTTCCCCCAAGATTGAAATGGCAGCAGTCTCACTCTGGAACCATTGCCAGTTTGTACGCAGAACATGGGGTAGCATTTTTATATTCACTGTGGTAAGCAGGAAAATGGCTTAATGATAAGGAGTTCCTATGGCATCAATCTGGTTACGGATGGTCAGGTTGTGCAATGGGATACTTAAAGATTTAATCATTGTGTGGTGGAGAATATGTGCAAGCCATGCGGTAATTGGCGGAGCAACGGCAAGCCATCTGACAAAAAAAAAGAGTCACACCCTCACCATAAACAAGGCACTGGTCTAGCACCCACTGATGATGGTTCAGCACCAAGCCTGAGTGAATTGGCGGCAACGAGACATGAACCGGCATTGCCAACTACTAGGTCTTTCGTATGCAAAGCGTTTAACTAGTATTATCCCCGCGTTGGTTGAAACGAATGTTAGCAAATTTTTAGTTATGCCTAGACTTTGAACTGGACGCGTTCATCTTCCAGGATATGCATTATCATCTTCCTGTCTTTTTAAGAGACGTTTCTCATCTTCGCTAGTAATAAGGGCGTGGACAAGCTGTCATTAATGTACGAGTGACTCGATTCAAAAGAACCAGAATCTCTCACACAAATTTATGTAATTTACTAAATTCATAACGTTCAAGGCTGTGGCGATGAGAGTGTCATTGCACCTGCACTGGCCAAGACTAATTGCTGCCTATGGAGGTGCTCTCAGTATACACAAGCCATGAAATCTTTTCCACTACAAATTGATAGGTAATCATCAAACCCTCAAAAACAAAGGTAATATATTCAAAACTTTTATTTCCTAAGATAAATTGCCAAACAAAATATGGCATCAATAAATGAACGAAGGAAATGTCAATTGGATAAGTCGTTAACTGCCACCAAGGACTAAATGTCCACCCTGTGAAGTGTAATATAAATCCATGGTATTTATAGTGTGACCTATCCAATCTGCATATCTATGTACTTCTGTATATAGTCTGTATGTGTCTTTTGCACCTATATGTGTGTAGCTTCTGATGCCGGATAAATACCAGTTTCCATTATGGTTACACATTAAAGGCTCGGATTCGGTCTGCAGAAAACAAAAAAAGAAGTTTAATTTTTCCATTTAATAAATACATAAAGAAATCTAACGCTCTATTGGCATAGTCAAGGGGGGCCTGTGGGGTCATGCCCCCATCCAAAAATAAAAATTTTAAACGCAATTTTGCGGCAATTGCAAAGAGAGATAAATTCATACGCCTTTTCCAACACCACTTCACTCTATTCTTGAACGATTTATTGAAAACTGGACATTTCCTGGCTTGCAATCAATATTTCTTTCACCAAATGACCCCCAACGGGATAGATGAAAATATGCCTCGGATAACTTTGACAGCTAAGTACGTCTGTATAAAGCGATTCATTAGGATATTGTTAGATGATGGCTCCTTTTTCTGGCTTTGTTCCGAGCAAAAAAAATTGCCTCCACCCCCTCAAATTTTGGGCTGGCTAGCTGGGCGGGCAGTGGTACATTGTCTTAATGCAATCTTTTCAGGTATGCAGAAGAAACAAATCTACCTTTTCATGGATGCCAGAAATATCAAAGTTGATATTTTCACCACAAGCAAATGATGAATCTTTGTTTAATCCCAAAATTTCTTTACACCATGTACTTGAAATTGTTTGAACTTCATACTCCATTATTTGATTCAGATTAATGCCTGTATGTAGAAAGAATCAATCAAATAAGGTAGTATAGGTTAAAAATCCCGAGTATAACTAATATTATACGAGATTCGGCGCTCCAGAAGTGTGTGTACCAATATGGAGGTAACTACCGTAATTTTGTTCGCCTACTTTACATCAAGTTGTGTAAAGGGAATGAAACCTATGGGCAGGGGATATTCACTTGGCTAACACAGACAGGCCCCGAACTCGTAATAGACCTAAAACAAGGAAAACGGAATAAAGATATGGCCCAACCCTAACCTGGTACAGACAATATGAGAGTACCCGGAATTCAGTACAACTTAATTGAAATTGCGAGGATCATAAAGTCTGTGTATCGTCGAGGGGTATGTTTTTCATTCAAGAAACTAGGGTTCGAATCCGACGCTCACCACTTCATCCAAGGTATAATAATTCGGATAGTCAATGCCGAAGATTCTATTTCAAAGAGTAGCTCTTCACATATTAATGACCGCTTGTACTGAGCATTGTTCAGAGTCAACGGCTTGAAACCATGTTGTATAGATAATTTAAAATTAAACGAAAACACTTTAATTAAAAAAAAAAAAACGAAATATGGAAATTTAACATATTAAAGATACCTTGAGTTAGTGAATTCCATCCAGCACTGTAGCAGGTGCTTTTAGGTTCATGGACTCTATATCCACTGTCTGGTAAACATATCGGAAATACTCTATCTCCCAATGTTACTGGTTGGTTCAGCCTCCATATCGCAATGTCACCATCTCTAGTAACTGAATTATAACCATGATAGACATGAAACCTAAACAAAAGATAAGTTATAGGATATTACAAGGTATTTAACTTGTTCGGAGAAGTGTAAAGAGACTCTAACTTTAATGAATTCAGTTGAATTATTTATAAAAAATGTAATATATATTTATTTACAGGTATTACTGCTTAAAATAACAATAATAGAAGACAGGGTTTTCATATTTTATCTAGGGGGAGAGGAAAGTCAATAGGATAGCAAACCATGGCGTCTTATACGGCAACCAAATTATGTTGGATATGGGAATAGTCAACCAGTTATTTGTTTCAGATACATGACATAGGTCTAACCGAACAGCGATTGATTACATGAACTCCGCTATAACAGCGAGGAGTCAAGCAATCCTTTTGCACATAATTATTTCCCACAGGATTCGAACCTGCGAACTTGCGCAAGCAAAGGTGTGATGGGAAGCATACTTTTAACGCTTAACACAATTCGCCATCTGCCAAAAATCTCACAAATCAAAAAATTAAATAACTCCAGTTAAATGAATCTCACATTGATCTGAGTGGTTCTCTAGTGAGATTTCTCATAGCTCTGTCCATATCATTCTGTAAAGTCATTCCAATCCCAATATCAACTGTACTAGCAGATTTTTGTACAACAAATCTAGTACAATGCGCAGCAGTAATGACAACTTCCGATGATATTAATGCTCCAGTGCATCGGTGATACGCCTGAACAAAATATTTTAAAGAACATTCATATACAAGCTCGTTCATCTTAGAACTTGATATGGCTTTACCACGACAGCTTTTTTGTTTTTTCATCAGAGGTTGGCATTTGGATGGAAATATTGAATCATTTACTAAGAATGGGCCCTTTATCTAAAACCCTTGTCTATGTCGGTGCATAGACTGCATCGGACGTATATTGGACTATATATCGGTTGATT